TCTCTACAGGTGGGGTGATGTCAGCATAACATTGATCAACCTGTCCCCATGGCATTGCCTTCCCCAGGCCCCCTCTTTGGTCTTCTCTTTTGATGGGTGTAGGAGACCATTCTGCGTGGCACAGACTCAGTTCCCACTTGGAGATGCACAGGACCCATGCCCACGGAGAGGTTCTCCCGTGGGGAATCAGGCGTGCAATGTGCCTAAGCCGCTTTGAGTCTTGCTTTTTGCTAAAAACTCCCTCACCTGGATTTGTGGCCAACATTTACTGCACGGTAACTTCCTAATATCCATGCTAAACCTTCCAAGGACAAGTGTAATGGGTTCAACCACTTTTGCCTTTTCATTTGCAAATTCGATGTGACTAGGCATAGGCTCCTTTGTTTTCTGTAAAAGGTAATCACCTAAAGCGAACCCATACATAGTAAATGAGGACGATAACACGTAATGTGCTGAGAAACCCAATAAAGGCTGGTCATGGCAAGGGCCAAGGTTTTTGCTCCCCTTGAGAGGAAAAACCGTGCTGTCCCTTTTCATCCACTGGACTCGGTAGTTCGTGTGAATGTCTCATTTCATCCTTAATGACACGGACACTGCGGGCCAGTGTCTGCATTGAATGGACACTCTGATAGGGTTCTGACCCGATTGTTGGTGGACCCCAAGACCAGCTTGGGGGGTGGGGGAGGTAGGGAAGGTATAGCTTTATAGGTAAAGGACAAGTACATCTCCAAAGAATTTTCTCAACTCAGCCCATGTGAGCCTTGCTGGCATCTGGAGGCAATACTGGCTATTTTACCTCCAGACCAAATAAGAATCAGATAGAGGAGGAGGACCTGAGTGAGGCACACCCTAAGTGTAGAGTAGAGTAGCGACCAGAACTCTTGATTTCCAGCCCACAGCTAAGAAACTGGCACGAGGCTGTCACAGTCACCCACCAGGGCTCTGAGGCTGCTGCTCCAGGGCAGACCGGCCACACTCCGGCTACCCGTCTCGCAGCTTCCCACCATTCATCTAGACCCAGTCTAGGGCCTCCTCCTTCCAGCTCCAGCCTTGGATTGCAAAGGCCAGAAAGGCCTCCCCAGGACACCCCGACCTGGTTTCCAGCTTAAGAAACTCTAAAAATAGCAGGCCCTCATTAGTGGGGCCAGATGGCCCAAGCTGCTATGATGCCTGGGGGCAGGGCCATGGTCATTAAAGATATGGCTGTCCTCTCTACCCACCACTGACCCAGGAGAGTGTGGGGCCCAGCCCCACTATATGTGTCCTACTACTTTGCCTCCTGCCCACAATTTAGATATGGCTGCTCAGGTCCAAGTTCTTAATTCATTCCCAAGAAAACGAAGTTCAATATTCAGTTACTTTAGGTTTTCTAGGACATTGCTTTCCAATCACAGCATTCCATAATGGTTTGTAAGTGCACTGGGGGATGGAGAAGCAGGCTCAAGCTTTCTACATTGATCGGTGTCAATTTATCTCCTCCCCATTCTCCATCTGCCTGTTAACTCCACATCTACAGACTGGGTTCTCAGTTTTCCTTGCCTTGCGGAGCTTGCTATAACATATTCCACCATGAGTGGAGTTATCCATTTTATCCCCAAGTACAATGCTGAGTCCTGATTTCGAAGATAAAGGAAGGGGAATAACAGGGGCCCACCACACGGGGCCAGTGTACTGTTGTGCCCACTTGGAAGACTGAAACAGCTGGCCAGCCCTAGGAGCAGGCTGTGTTCTGTATCGCTGTGTCCCACGGGGGTGTGGGGGGGCATGTGACTGTATCCCATAGGTATGTTCCAATGTGCCTCATGGGGCCAGAGTTGTTTGTGCATGTGCATCCTTAGGAGTGTGGATCCTGGGGATAGGAGCAGATCTGAGTGTGTATCTATCTCAGTGTGCCCCACGTGTACATATCCTATGTATATGTGCCCTGTGAGTGTGCAGTTCTGCTTCATATGCATCCATGTGTCCACACACACACACAAATATGCATAAGCATGTGGCATGTGTCTGTGTGTACACACTGCCTTTGCTGTGTGTTAAGTGTGAGTGTGCCCCACACTAATTGAATGTGTGTGCTCCAAGTATATTAATGCAAAAGTGAACCCCACACATGTGTTCCATGTGTGTCCCAAACATGCCACACGTGTGTCCGAGTGTGTAGAAGTGTGCGTTGTGTGTGCCCTAGAGCGTGTGGGTATGGAGGAGGACATGGTTAGACAGCAAGGCTGGACCAATTCTCCTCTCCCACAATTTCTTTCTGACAGCTTTCCTCTAAGACACCCAGGCCAGCCTGCTCCTAAGCAGGTCAAAGGGCTTGGGTTCAATGTTCACTTCTGTGACTTCCTGTATGTGGTGACTATAGATGCTCTTCCCAAGAGGCCTAGCCACCCCTCCACTGCAGCCTCGCAACTATGAAGTCCAGCAACTAGAAAGAGAGAGGACAAGGGTTGTGGACTACATATGGGACTTTGGGCAAATTTTTCTTTCCCCCTAGGCCTCAGTTTCCCCAACAGTACAATAACAGAGTGGGTTCAATGATCTTATATAAACTTCTTTCTCATTCTTATCTATAGACTTCCTCATAGATTAAGTACCATGGACGAATTCTGGTCACTCACACTACCTCCACCATGAAAAGACAGCGTACAGATGCGTGCATGTGGATTAGCACCTACAGATGTCTCATTCTCGTAAGCTCGCTCTAGCTCTGAGAAAGCTACTGCTTGACTCTCTAATCCTGACATCCCAAAGTCATAAAAGAAAGGGGATAAAGTCTCAAAAGACATACAATCTTCACCAAAGTGGAGGCAACATGAGACGGGCTTTATCCAAACCATTTTTCCCCATCCTTTTGGAGGAATGTAGGAACTACTGATAGTAATAAACCAGCTTTTAGGCCCAATGGCTAATTTAGGCCCAGGTTTAAGAACCTGACCAGGTAAATCCATAAAGAGAAAACCTACAAACAGCACATAAAGGACCATATAATCTAAGGCCACTTTTCTGCATTTGGCAGGGCCTCTTATGCATCCCTGAATGAGATGATATCTGGGTGGACTTACCATGGGTCAAACACCATAGTTTTCCATGTATAATGCACATTCCCCCCAAATGTTTGAGGGGAAAATAAGGACACACATTATACATGGGTGTAATGATTACACACCATGAGCATAATAATGGGTATAATAATCCCATGTAGAATGCACACAAACACATGGGTGCACATTATACATGTGAGCACATTATAAACAATAAAGTACTGTAGATGTGTATGAATTACCAATTAGTGGTTCAGTGCCAGCCCCACCAGCATTATCTAGTGGCAACTGCCTAGTTTTCTCTGCTATCTTGACTGACACTCATAACAAGACCTATGTAGAGGCAAAGTGCAGAAGACATCTTTAAAACAATCTCCTTGCCCAAGGCTACTTGGTGTGGGTGGATGGACAACAGCTATCCCTATATACTAACGCTCCTCCTTGTACACAACTGCTTTTAAGAGTCAGCATGAATCTCAGCCCTGGCTGGTGTAGCTCAGCGGATTGAGTGCAGGCTGCAAACCAAACAGTCGCCAGTTCGATCCTCAATCAGGGCACGTGCCTGGGTTGTGGGCCAGGTCCCCAGTAGGTGGCACATGAGAGGCAACCACACATTGATGTTTCTTCCCCTCTCTTTCTCCCTCCTTTCCCCTCTCTCTAAAAATAAAATAAGTAAAACCTTTATTTAAAAAAGAGTCAGCACTGATCTCAATAAATCAAAGTAATTCTCTAAGTTTTCATTTCCTTAGCTACAAAATGGGGAGAATAATCCTGGCCTTGTGCACTTCATGGGGTTATGGGGGAATAAAAGCAATGTGGTAGTAAGACCATACAATAGTTCTTATCTCGTCACTCTGCCAGGGGAGCAACTAGAATTTTCCAAACAAAACAATGCAGATAAAGGTGAAGAGTGTGTATTTGTTCTAAGTAGGTCATTTGTTAAGAGCTTGCTATTTCTAACACAACTCTTAATCATATCGTGAAAACCCAGTAACATTCAGCACAAATCCTAGCCAAGGAGCTGGGGGCCAAAAATTGGTTTTTAATTGCCAAGTGCCTAGGTGGTTCTGGCTTTTATGGACTTGAGAAAGCACTAAATAAAGACACGATTAACTCTGGCTTTCTTCCAAATTTCTCTTTTAGCTTTGCAGGAGATAGGGAGCAAGAAAGCTAGTCTGCTATTCATAGCCTCATGTGTGTGGCCAGGTGGGGGGGGATGGAGCTGGGGGTAAATAAAAGAAAGCTTCTTACTTAAAAAATATCCCAGCTTCCCCACAAAGAATAACAGACATAGGCCAAGTGACAGGGTTTCTAACCTTCCAAGGGAGGGAAGTAAAAGAGAGTCCTCCACGATGTGATGGAGAAGAATGAGGCACAAAGACAATGGGATTTGTTCAAGGTCATCCAGAGATTCAGTTCCCATTTACAGTCCTTCTTTATTCATGTGGATGTCTTTCATTAACAAAATCTTGACAGAGAGCCTGCCAAGCGTCATGCCCCTCCCACTGTAGCAGTCACCCAGAGACACCCTGGTTCCAATAAACAGAAAAGAAAACCAACTCGGAGAGGCTAAGTGACTTGCCCAAGGTCACAGAGCTAAAGAAATAATGACAAACTACTAGTTCAGTGACCCTTTGGCTTTCATCACACCATACAGGTTTCCCTCGCCACCCCTGAAAGACAAGAGAAGCTTGTAAGTCTCCAAGCTCCAGAAAGTCATGTGCTTGCAAGGCAAAGTTCTAGCTCCAATACTCCCGTAAATACACTGGGTTTTCATGGGAGAGTCCTTTCTCCATCAGTGCCAAGTTCCCCAGCTCTTAAAATGATGGAACTAGATTCAGGACAGCTGTTAACACCCCTTTTCTACAAGATATAGCTGTCTGGAATGACCTTCGATGGCACTGTTAACTTCCAGAGCTTGAGCCCATACCAAACAGTGTATGATAAGTTTTTGAGCCTCACCTTTGTCATCTGTGAAATGAAGATAATCCCTGCCCTACCTGCTTCACAGGGCCACAGAGGAGAGCAAGTGAGACGATGCAAAATCCAGTGCAAAGTGTAAGAGAATGTTCAGGAGGGACAGTGAACAATCAAGGAAGAGTCCAGAATCAAGGGAGCATCCACTAGCTGCAGCTGCTTTCCTCCACATTCAAATAGAGAAACTACCTGCGCACATTAGATACTCAGCACAGGGCTGCATCCAGGCCTCCCTGCCTCAGAAGAACAAATAGAGTCTGTGGTCCAATAAATCCTCCAGAGGCCTCCTGTGCAGTTCAACCTGGTTTCTCAAGAAAAACATCTCAGCTGGTTGCAAGGTCCAAAGGAAATGAATAAATCCCTGCACTGCCCCTGGGCCCTAAGCACAAAGCAGTTTCATCATTTTGCCTTTGTTCTGAGCCCTCCCACCATGGCAGGCCTATCAGAGCCTCTCTAAGGGACGCCTGGCTCCCTCGTGCCTCTTTCCCAATGCCAAAGCACCCACTGCCCAGACCCGCTGCCAACCAGCAGGGTTAATGAAGAGAGGAGGAAGAAGAGAGTAGGTGGAGGAGCGGCTGTGGGAGGTACAGCTAAAAGTAGCTGCTGCCTTCAGGCACCGCACTCTGAGGGGGTGGGGGGTGGGCTCTTAGCACATCCTTCCTGCAGCCAGATGGGCATGGAGGTGCATGGTTTCCCCTCCTCTAATGAAGGCAGGCAGGCAGAGATCAGAGCTGCCAGAACCATTCCCACAGCTGTCTATGGGTGCTCAGTGCCGGCCTCCTCTGGGCCCCGAGGGCAGATGGCCTTTCAGCACAGTGGCTGCGTCCAGGCCTCCCTGCCTCAGAAGAACAAATACAGTCTGCAGGAGATTCCGTGCTCTCCCACTCCCATCTCAACGCCTGGCACCTCAAGGGCTGCTGACAGGCTTGCTCCCCTCCAGGTGGTTACGTAATACTCCTGTTTTCCCAGACACTCTGTCAGCTTGCTTTTCTCCAACCAAACCTGAGAGCCGTCAGGTCTCTGATCCAGCCAAGGGGGCATACAGCCAGTGCCCTGTAGCAGAGGCCACAGGTTACAGGAGGCAAGGTCCTAATTTGAGGAGTGGGGATCCCAGACTGATCAGTGAATCTCAGACAAGTCACTTTCCCTTCAATGTCTCAGTTCTCTCACTTGTAAAACAGGGAGGGGAAAGGCATGCTGCAGACCTCCAAAGTACTCTAATCTCTGCCCCTATGTGATTCTCTGCTAATCCTGGCCACTGAAACAAAAGCCCCCCTCTCTCACCCAAGGCTGTCCCATCTCCCAAGCAGTCTGAGCTGAGGCGAGCCATCCCCACTCTCCTAACTCCAGTCCCCCCACTGACTAAGGTTTCCACTGGCAAGATGGTTGCCTGGAACTCTATACTCTGCCCTCCATCTCTGTCCCAGGCCCATTTCAACTGCACAAGCTCTGCTTTTTTCCTCTTTTATATGCTAGCTCCTGGCTCAACTTTCATTTAAGCACATGGTTTTTCTACTGAACCCACAGCTTTCATTCTAGTGATATGGAAACTGAGGCCTAGTGAGGAAGGGCCCTGATCAAGCTCTGGCAGCAAGGCAGGCACAGGGTGGGCCACAGCTTGCTCCCAGGGGTCCCCGAGGCCATGTGCTGGGTTTTTCTCAACCAGAAGGTTCCCAAAACCTTCCTCCTCCTGAAGGTTTGCCTTCCACATGCACTCCCTCTGCCATAGAGACACAACTTTCCCTCTTCTCTGCTACCAACTCTTGACATTGGTGCCAACAAATCAAATGCTCCGCTCCTGTCAGGGGCCTGAAAGTAGCACAGAAGAATGATCACAGCAAGGTACAACTGACCTTGTACTCATCCATCCCTTAACCTTTCCTTTTCCTCCAGGTTGCCCCATGGTTCTTTTCTTCAAAGTTTCCTCCTGAGCTCTACGCTATGTCAGCAGAACCCCTTCAGTTTTCAAAAGCTGTGACCACATTCTGACCATGGAGTCGACTACACAGGCGACCCTAGAAGAACAGGAGGGTGTGGCCTGGGTTCTAGGCCAGGAACTACCACTTCCTGATGGTGTGACCTCACGTAAATTGCTTAATCTCTCTGTGCCTCAGTTTCCTCAATTCCTGCCAGCTGGGGTGGACGAGCCAATGAAATAACTAGGGAATGTTATTTGTTGAAATTCTTATTAACAGTAGTAGTAGTGGGAGTAGTAAGTAAATGAATGGCTACTTAAAATACTGCAGGAAGGGGCTCTGGGCTATCGAAGCAGCCGGCTCCTTGCCTCCAAGGCTTTCCCAGACCCCTGAGGCTGGTATTTTATCTTTAAGAGGCAAGTTTTAGGTACCCATGCCACACGTCCCAAATTGGCACCCTCCTGCCTCTCAGCTCACTACAGGACTCCCTTCCCTGCTGGCAGCCAGTGTGTGCTCAATGAAACAACTTATAGTTCAGTTGTTCCAGAAGAAACCAAAGCCAACCATAATTAGATGGAAATTCTATTATCCCCAAAATCACCCTATGCATTCCAAACCTGCTAAAAGGAATCTTTAGGTTACCTACTGGCTTTGAAGAATAATATTCTTAATCATTTTGATCACTAGTATTAATCACAAAGTAAGCACAGATCATTAGAGCTCCAAGAAATCTTTGGCAGTCTCTAAGGCACCTAACTTCATTTTACAGATGAGGAAACCAAATTTCATTGGTGAGCAGTCATTTACCCAAAGTCACCCAGCGAGTAAACAGACTCTTTTTCACTAGGACAGCAAATGCACGGGAGCTTTTTTCTAAGGAGCTCGAAGCACATCCCGGCTGACAATTTCAAGTCCAAATAGGTCCTCAGACTATTTGTTCTCCAAGGTTGAGTCCACCTTTTTAAAGTGGGCAGCAGCCCCTTAGAATTCATCAAGGCCCCCGCAACCCTAGAATAAAATGTCTCCATCTGTAAAGCCTGCCTGTTCACGTGTGGGGTCAGCCAGATTCAGGCTGTGCTGGCATTTCCTTTGAACATAGCATCACAGTCATTCTCATCCCTGGCTAAACATTCCTGCCACCTCAGGAAGCTTTTTAAAAATATTGATGCCAGGGCCTCTCCACGACCAACTCAATTAGACTTCCCTGAGAGATTCTAGGAACTGTTGATAGTCTTGTTAAATCCCCAAGTGATTCCACTGTGCAGCCGGGACTGAGCACCACTGGGTCAGTTTGAACAATTCAGCCAACCAAGGGGACACGTGCACCAAGACTTTCCTGAACTCTTCGAAATCCAAGTATATTCTGTCTCAACACTACATCTATGCTGTACAGATTTCCCAAAGATGGGAAAGAATGGCGATGGGAAAAAATACAAGATCAATTTTGTTTTTAAAGTGGTACACAGAATCTACAGTGGTAACGCTGACTCTCAGGCACTTCTGGACCCAGTTAGGAAACATACAGTTTGTGGGAACTGAAAGAAAACAGGGAACCCTGGAGCCTACCACAGGAGCTACCAGGAGTAAGATGCCAAGTGACTCACAGTCCCTGGTGATGGGCTTGGTAAATAAGTGCTGTGAACGAAGACTACATCTCGATGCCTACAAAGCATACTAGTCTATCACGCCACATTATCCTCATGTACACATTAGAGCACAGGTGGCAAACACAAGGCCTGTGGGCTAAATCCAGCCCCCTACCTTGTTTTATCCAGTCTGCACCTTGTTTCTACCTGGCGGCAGCGCCGAGCTCCTCGCCCCTAGTTAAGAAGTAGTTACATTTATACAGTCCTAAGATTACATTTGATCCTTTGAAGGCAACTGTGAGGCTGATGTGGCCACCGGTGACAATGAGTCTGACACCCCTGCTATAGTAGGGATAGATCACGGTGGAGCCCCAATGGATTCGGCACCAACTGAACAGGTATATACAAAAGCGAATGGGCTGCAACTCCAAAAGGGGGATCTGGTGAGATGACAGCGGAATGAGTATTAACCTCATTATATTGAACATTTTTTTGAATCAACAATGTGAAGATGCACAGAACAGACCAAGCAAATAAAACAGAAGTGTAACTGATGCAATGCTGGAAGGGACAGCTCATTTGTTGCACAGTATGAAGAAAAATTTCAAACCCCATAGGAAAAAAAAACTAGAATAAGGGACCAACTAAACAAAATAACGTTTAACAAGTTTGGTTCAAAAGGCCAATTTCACAAGAACATAGAGGACTGCGCTCGACAGCAAAGTGTGTGAGCCTATAGCCCAAAGGGCTAATACAGTGGCTTTTAACAAGGGCAGTACATCTGAATTACCTCGTGGAGCCTTAAATTTGAAACTTAAAAAAAAACCTGCTGGGGATCTATCCTATGCCACTTATGCCAATTAAGTCAGATCTCTCAAAGTGGGGACCTGACATAGGCATTTAAAAACTCCCCAAGTGATGCAAATGTTCAGCGAAGGTTGAGACCCAGTCGAAGGCTGTATTAGCAGATAATTCACAGACAGATCAAAGTCCTTTTGTACTTGTTCCTGATCAAGTGGCACCTGGAGTAGCGTGATGGGTTCTGAGTAGCACATTTCTCAAGAAACATAGAAAAATAAGAGTGCTTCAAAAGGAAGGACAATTTTATGAAAACTGCGGTCCCTTGAAAGCATTCTATCTTTTAGGCTCCACCAATTCACACTGCCTTTCTCCTTGAACATCTCGAATAGTGAGTTTTCAAACAGCGAGTTTTTGTAAGACTAAAGGGAACTCTGATGTATATTCAAGATAAAAGGCATCATTTTCTTAAATAAAGAATTCTGTGCCAAATTGCTATATCAATGAAAAGTATAAAAACCACTAACAATGTAAGCAAGTAGCTGAGGAAGCTAGTATGGCTTCAGGGGAGACTCGTAGACCTCTCCCTGTGACTCCATTTAGCCTCACTCGAGCTGGGAAGGATCAACTGTGACTCCCCCCTACGCCCGTTTGAAAAGCAGACCCACTCCCATCCCACCCATCTCTCTGACCTTTACTTTCCTCATCTGTAAAACCGGGAATAACACTCATCCCTATGCGCTGCACAAGGCTGACATGACACTGAAAATGAGGACGTGAAATCGCTTTGTGAACTCTACAGGCCCGTGCACTGACAGGGGATTATTAGCATTGCCATTATTGGAAAGTTTCCCGAGTCTTCTCTCTCCTCGAAGCCCTTCCCCTTCTAGATGTTCCACTTTGTACTTTTGTGCCACGGCAAAGCACAATGAACTCCGTACTGTTCAGAGGTACACCCACCTAGTGACAGGAGACACTCTGCACATATCAGAAGAACTAAGCTTTGATCAAGGATTCTTGGAAAGCAAGAGACTCAGTTGGCCTAGA